GGAGTCTTACCCAAATAAATCCCTCAGTCACCCTCCGTCACTGGTCCCGACTCCTCTGGGCCATGTGCGTGATGGGTCACTGCTGGGCGTGTGCTGCCCTCTTGTGATGAGAATCGCCCACTCTGACCTCCAGCTTTCCCTGTGCACCTACTGCTTTGGTCAGTCCGGTGCTGGGGGTTGGAGGGCCTGTGGCCAGTGAGGAAGCCACTGGCTCACTCGCCAGGAGCTCCTGTCCCTGCGACTCTCAGACAGCGAGGCCTGTACATGGGGCTCTGGATCCTGTCGCTTTTAGCTCCTCGGACCTAGGCGTGAAGACCAGGCTACCCAGCGAACCCTAGGGCAGGGAGATCATTGTTTCACCCACCCCAATGGCTAGGATTACTAGGAATGGGTGTGGCAGAAAGGTTATTGCTGAGTGAGCCGAAGGTCACACAGTCAGAACGGGGAAAGTAACACCAGCAGAAGGCCCGTGTCCTCGTTCTTGCCCGTAACGTGTGTGACCGTGGGCATGTTAGCACGTGTCCTCACTGGCCACACGAAGGGTTTTGTCATCTCAGACTTTGTCAACTTTTCTACGTTTGCCAAAACGTCTTTATTGAAGGGTTTTGCCTTTCTTTTGTTCCATTAAAAAAAAAAATGTCTTTAGAGAAATAGCGATGTGAGAGTCAGACATCAGTTGGCTGCCTTCTGCATGACAGCCCACTGGGGATTGAGCCAGAAGCCAGGGCATGTACTCTGACCAGGAATGGAACTCATAGCCTCTGGGTGCATGGGACAGCGCACAACCAACTGAGCCACACTGGCCAGGACTTGTTCCATTTCACGTGCGTCCTGATCAGTATGACACGATGCCTATCCACCCTCACTGGGTCTGTTTCCTTATTCATGAGATCAGTCCTCCTTCACGGGGTTGCTGAGAGGAAGTTGCCATCAGAACCAGTGTGAATGGGCTCGATTAGATTGGGTTTTTTTAGGCAAAGTAAGGGCACATCCATATATACGAATATTTTATTTATTTAATATGTTTTTATTGATTTTAGAGAGGAAGGGAGAGGGAGAAGCATCGATGAGAGAGAATCGTTGATTGGCTGCCTCCTGCACCCCCAAACTGGGGATTGAGTCTGCAACCCGGGCATGTGCCCTTGGTTGGAATCGAACCCAGAACACTTCAGTGCACAGGCTGACGCTCTATCCACTGATAGAGCCATACATATGTATACTTTTATATCAAGGAAACCTGATTTTGAAAACGCAGCTGTCCTGTCTACTAAGTGGTTCTAGCACAGTATCAACCTTCAAAGAGATGCCAGCTTGTGGGCCGTTCATCTTCCCTGCAGCCCAGCTGTAGTTACTGCCTGTGCCCTTCTGAGCGATGATCTGTGTGGGGAAGTGAGGGGTGAGAGTGGGGGTGGGGCAGCCTGAACACCATCCAGGGCAGTGGTCGCCAACCTTTTGGACCTTGGACCACTGGTTGGTGACCGCTGACCTAGGGCTAGCATGCCCACACGAATATTTTTGCGGCCCAGCCAATATAATGGTGTGAGCAGTATTGACAATTATGAAAGGAAATAGGTCTCCTGTCCAGATCCCAGAATTACTGACCCTGACCTTGGAAGTAATCACTGCAAACAAGGTTTCCCCTGAAGTAGGAAAGATGGTGGCAGAGGAGAGAAGCCAAGTGTCAGGAAGAAACATTAATTTTGTCATCGCTCTTGTTCTTTTTGTACTGCACTTCCCGAAATAAACCTACCTTTCTATGAGAACTGAACCTTTTGATTTTTTGTGGCCCACAGACTTAAACCTTGTTTATTCGGTCCGTGTTAGCCTTTGAGTTTGACATGCTTGAACTAGGGCGAGAGTCCAGGGCAGGAGTGTCAATCCTATTCAAAGGGACACTGCTGGCTTCCTTCTGTTCTCTCACTCCACCTGCTTCCAAACCACCTGCTTCACCCCTACACTGCATGGAAAAGAAGCCGGACACAACAGATTAACACTGCATGATCCCCTGTATATAGGGGCATTAGAGTAGTCAAATCATAGAAAGAGAAAGTAGAGGGCTCGTTGCCAGGAACATGGGTGTGGGGGTTTGGGGGAGAGGATGTGGCATTAATGAGGACAGAGTTTCGGTTTTGCAAGAACAAGAGAGTCCCGGAGCTGGGTGGTGGTGATGGTTGCGCTGCAGTGTGACTACATGTAATACCATTGAACTGCACTAAAAATGGGTAGGATGGCAAATTCTATGTTATATATTTTACCACAGTAAAAACAAAGAAGGCAAAACCCGGGAAGATGACATGCAAAAAGGTAAAATACTGAGTTAGTATAATGTTATCACAAGTTTAAATTTTTATTTCCATATTGTGATATTGCTTTTATAGTTAAAAAATAAAGCACTGAGACAGAAAAAATAATGAAAGAAATTTGAGATATTTTGATATTTGTTATTCTCCAAGAAAGTACCCAAGTTGTCATGGGAAAAACCAGAAACTTGTTTAGCATCCTGGCACTTACTTTATAATTTACTATTGTTTATTTATTATTATTTTTTTTAAGTTACAGATCATCAGGGGCCCATGACCGTTTCAGTGCTTAGTGCCACTAAAGGTTCTAAGCTGATTGTGGGTGCAGCTGATGCAGTTTTAAGGCTGAGAGAATGGTGCTGGGATGGCCCTGGGCCCTGCAGCTCTGCCTTGAGCCCATCTGCGGGGTAACTTGATCCAGGGCCTCCTCATGAGTAAATTCCACCTTTATTAAAATTCCTATCCATGTGCTGGGATAATGGTCATGGCTTTGTCTTCCAGCTCCACAGCAAGGTTGGTTGGTTGGTGGTTGTTTAATTACTGAAGTAGATGAGTGCCAGCCCTGGATAGCAGTGAGCCAACTGCTCCTTCCCAGTTCAGGAGCTGGAAATGCCTGGCAAAGGCTCCTGGGCTGGTTTTGTGTGCTGGGGCTGGCTCCCCGCGGTGCCAGGAAGACATGGGCCCGCCTCGCGGTCAGTGAGTGATGCTTACATGGCAGGGCTCTTTGTTAACAATGATGGAAACTAATGCCTGTGCTTTTCACTGACAAAGCTAGGCTGTTGCAGGAAGCTCAGTGTTGAATATTTTTTGGACTTGACTTTGAGACCTTCCAGCCCTATGTTTGACCTTGTTGAGAAGTTCCCTAAACCTAAGAGATGTGGACAACCTGTGGGTTCTCCTGTGAGCGGAAAAGAGAAACATCGGTTTGGTAATAACCAGCACGTGCTGAGCAGCGGCCGTGCGGCTCTGTGTGACTGCTTTCCTTGCATCAGCTGTTTCATCCTCAACCCGCCCTGCCAGTCGGGGCTCTCCATTCCCTTTTCAAGGCAGAAATGGAGGTTCCAGCAGCCTCACTCAGGACCAGCCCGATGCCGCCCGGTAAGTTCACAGCCGGCAGGCATGTGCCAGAAACACACGTCTGAAACGTGGGAGCTGTGGCTTCTTTCCTGTGAAAAGAAAGAATTGTATCCGAGTTTTCGGAATTCTCTTTTCTTGTCCTTTCCCGTTTTCCATTGTGTCTGTCTTGCCTAGGAAAGTCCCCACGTCTCTGCCCACCAAGTTAAGGTCCCGAATCTACTTTTGTGAGAGAAAAACCTGTCATTCCTCACCTAGAAGACCAAGGTATTTCCAAATGGAACGTAAGCCAACAGCATGTAGATTTTGAGTCTCTAAAAGCCATCACTTGTGGTCGTTTCCGAATAAATTTTAGACTCAGAAGTTGAGAGCGAGGGGTGTAATCCAGTACTAGTGTGTCGGCTAAGAAATGTGGCTCTCTGGCTCTGTGCATCCGCCTTGGTGCTTTTGGCATATCTGTGCCCAGATTCTCTGGCAGAGGAGGATTGCTGCCTCAGGGTGACTGTAGGTGAATGTGCAGATCTGGGGGAAGAGGCGAGGTGGGTAGGAACTGCCAAACAGCGCCTATGGGAATGGCCACCACGCGGCTGGTGACTGCACAGAATTTCCCCCACAGCCCAGGCACCGGTAGAACTGCACCCTTCCCAACAGGCTGCTGAGGACACAAAGGTGCTGCTTCCCCTTCCCCTCTCGTGTCCAACCCCTCAGCTTGGTACCTCTGGGTCCTCCACTCAGCCCAAGGGCCGAGGAACAGAGTGGACATCGGGCGTGGCCTGCCAGGACCTCTCTTGGCACAGCGGGGAGGCCGTGAGATTTGGTCCAAGCCAACATGCCCTGGCCCCCGCCCCTGCCTCAGTCATTCCCTCCGAGCAGCCACTGTCTGGACTTGGTGGTGGACGGAGAGGCCTGTGAAAGACCAGAATGAAGACGCCTCTGACGGCACCAGGCTCTCCCCACGGTCACCCAGGGCCCCGCCCAGTGCACTGGAGGTGCCAGCGTGGGGATCAGGAAACTGCTCACCAGATCTAGTCCCTAGGGCATCCCGGACTCAGGCAACAGAAACAGTGTATTCAGGATTTATTAACAAACTAACTTGCAAAAGGGCAGGTCATCTAGTCCCACCGCCACCCTCCCCCGTTAGCACCCAACGTGCTAGCGGGTCCTCAGAGCTGCCTGACTCTTGGCTCCAACTCCGTCACCCTCACAACTCCTCAGGCGGGAGACCTGAGGCGGGCAGGGGAGAGGGGGCTCTGTGGGTGCCAGGACACAAGGGTAAGCCACGCCTGTTCCTCAGGGCGGACAGTCTTCCTGGGGCAGAGCAGCTCTGCCTCAGTGGGAGTCTCTGGAGGTCAGCCCTCGCCGTGGGAAAGCCAGCAACGCCCTCGCTCTCAGCTAGAGCATCCAGTGGTCTTGGTTGGCAGGGAGGCCCCAGGATGGAAAAGCCTGTGCCGAGCCGAAACCGGTTTGGCTCAGTGGATAGAGCGTCGGACTGAAAGGTCCCAGGTTCGATTCCGGTCAAGGGCATGTACATTGGTTGCGGGCACATCCCCCAGTGGGGGGTGTGCAAGAGGCAGCTTGGTCGATGTATCTCTCTCATCGACGTTTCTAACTCTCTATCCCTCTCCCTTCCTCTCTGTGTAAAATCAATAAAAATATTTTAAAAAAAGAAAAAAAAAAAGAAAGAAAAAGCCTGTGCCGAGTCTTCTCCTTGGCACCCACTGCCACCCCACACGGGGCTACAGCTGTGAAGTGGGAGGGCAGCACCACATTGCAGGCAAAACACTTGTTGTTCACGGAGCATCTTCTCTGCACCATGTCCTCGGCGGCTCGGTGAGGGGGGCATCGACATCCCAGTCCCCCAGCTGCCAGGGCCGGCGTCCTATGAGCTCAGCCATTCCTCTGGATGCGGTTTCCATGACCGTGGGCACTTGGGACCGTCTCTGCATGTACGCTTCCAGTAACAATATGGCTCACAAAGCCCACGCTTCTCCGTGAAACTGCCCGTCAGAGCATCTGTGAAGGCCCTGGGCTCCCGGCAGGCCCCAAGCAAGACGCCACCTAAGACGGGTGACCGCAGAGCGGCTGCTGCTGCTGCCAGCGCCCCTCCCAGGGTCAGAGCCTCGGACAGGAAGGCATCCTCTCAGGAAAGGACCAGCCGCTTCTCACCCTCAAAGCCTCTGACCTCCTCGAGCTTGAACAAGTTCCCATTTAGGCTGTTGGAGAAAGAGAGACAAGTAAAATGCAAATATGATCATACCCCCTTTTGCTGCACACCCTTCAGTGACTTCCCACGGCTCTTAGGATAAACACCCAACGATGTCACGGGACACACACGCCTTTTGTGGTCCAGCTTCCCCGTCCTCCGCCCCCGTTGACCCTCTCGCTCACTGTCTGAGCCCCGAGGCGCACGCTCCTTGACATCATGCTCCTTCCTGCCTCCGGGCTTTTGCATATGCTGTTCCACCTGCCCGGGACCACCTTCCCTCCCACTCCGCCGGCTGACTCCTCGTCATCTTTTACGGCTTACTTCCAGTGCCACTGCCTTAGACCGTCCCGGGACCTCACCCGTGGTAGGTCCCCTTCCTAGCTTTCCCCTTTGTAGCACTCACCACGATTTAATTAAATAATTACTTGAGTGATTTTTAAAAATAATTTTTAATGTTTTTATTGATTTCAGAGAAAGGAGGGAAGAGATGGAAACATCAATGATGAGAGAGAGTCATTGATTGGCTGCCTCCTGCATGCCCCACACTGGGGATCAAGCCTTCAACCTGGGCATGTGCCCTGACTGGGAATCCAACCTCGACCTCCTGGTTCATGGGGCGCTGCTCGACCACTGAGCCACACCAGCTGGGTTTGAATGTGTGTTTTTTCACTGTGTCACCCTCACTAGATGACAAACCTACGAGGGCAGCTCCATTTCCTTCGCCACTGGATTGTCAGTGCCAACACAAGCACTCGGTTATTCAGCAAACGAATGAAGAGCAGCGCCAGTTCCTGGGGACACAGCGGTGACCGGACGCAGGCCCTCCCTCAGAGACAGCCTCACGGGGAGCTGCTGCCTGCAGTGTGGGATTGGACTGGTTTCTACGGACAGGCTCACGGCGCTGGGAATAGATGGAATTGCCCTCCTGGGGGCAATTGGTACCTGGCGCACAGCCAGTGGTGCTCAGCACACACTGCCATCACCACGAGGGATGAGCGGGTCTTACCAAATCTCCATGATGCCGGTGTTCTTCTCTAAGGCGTCTGCCAGCCGGGCGACCCCCTTGGCTGTGATCTGGTTCTGGATAAGCCTGGAAGAAGGATGTGTTGTTAGTGTCAGGCACACGGCGCCGGATCAACCCTGCCCCCTTCGCCAGGGTACCTGACAGGATGGTGGGGGAAGACGGGGCCGGGGAGAACTGAATCCTCATGACCTTTAACCTGGGTAAGATCACCTACATCCAATCCAGCCTTTGGAATGCTTGATGTCTCTATTTCTTACAGTGAGCATCATACATCCGTGCGTTCCCACAGAGACAGCTTAACGGGTGAGCATACATATGTGTGTGTGCTTGGCCCAGCTCTCTGCAGAGGAGCCCAATCAGGAATGCCTGGAGACCACACAGACTCTCAGACGCATGCTGGGGAGTAGACAGGCAGGTCTCCTTCCAGGTGGTGAGGGGAAGGCAAGGCAGTTTTCAAAGCTGAAGTAGCAACCAGCTGGCCATTCTCTTTTTTGCGGGGAACAATGGCTTCAGGAGGGGGCCATGCCCTCCCCGCCATGAGAGGGCGAGAGGAGCAACAGTCCCTGATGCCCCTCGGGGCCCCGTGGGGAAGCAGTGATCAGTGATAATGGGGCCTCGAGGAGCAATCCCGTTTCACTGGGCAGCAGCGATCGGGATGGAGCAGTGGGTGCAGACCGCCGGGAGCCTGGCAGAGCCTGAAACGCCCCCCTGGGCAGTTCCCTCTGCAGCGATGTGTCTGCTTCATCACGGGCTCTCCCCTCACTCCTGGCCATCTGCAGTGAGCCTAATACCGAACTGAACCCTGAGACCTCCTGGGCTTTGACCCAAGGAGGCAGCCTTACCAAAGTGCGAAAGGGCCAACCCCTTAAAGAGGCGGCAGATCACAGCGGTTCAACTCCCCACTCCCCAGCGATGGGTCCTTGAAGAAATACACAGGCTCTCTGTGCCTCAGGTGCCTTATCTGTAAAATGGGAGTAACTGAGAGCATCTTCCTACCAGCAGTGTGTGAGGTTTGAATGGGACGACATGTTTGAAGCCGTTCTCGCAGTCCGTGCCACGGGCCCAGGGGAGGGGAGCCCGTGTTGCCATCACTGTCCACGCACACGGGACAGTGACAGCAGCCTGCAGCTGGGACCCAGTGCTCCAGCCCCCTCTCCTCAAGGCTGGACCTCAGACCCCGTGCAGAGGTGATGACCTAACACGCGTGACTGCATGTCACTTGACATGCTTGCCAAAAGCAGAACGAGCACCTGGCCGTGGGCACGGAGTTCTGCGTTCAGTCCAACTGCGTTCAGTTCAGCTCTGCCGCTTTCCAGTGACTTCCTTCGAGGCAGCCACCCCTGGCCTTGCAGGGGGCTCAGGCACACGCTCTCCAGGCTATCCCCACCCGGGCCCGTAGAGCTGAGCTGGCACGAAGCAGCCCAGGCTCCCTCTCCAGGCCCGGCCAGCTCGCTCCCCCCGGGGGGCTGGCCTGGCCTCACCTCAGGAAGCGCATAAGAGGAAATCTACCGGCCAGGAAAAAGAAAGGAAACCAACCAACCAATCAAATTATATAAAAAGCACAGTCTGGCTGTTTCCACCGAAACTGACACGGCGATCTAAAATTCATTAGGAAATGCAGGGGGCCCAGGATGGCCAAGACCCAGGTTGTCCTCAAGACAACCTTAAGGACGAAGAACACGGCCAGAGGACTCCCAATTCCCAAGCTCAAAACTTCCCAGGAAGGGGCACTGACCAACCAGCACAGCGCTGCTGGCACGGGGCGAACACGTGCATCCGTGCACTAGACGAGAAAGCCCAGAAATTACCCGAGAAACGCTACTCTGGTGGTCAACTGACTTTTCAGCAAAAGTGCCAGGGCCGTGGGAAAGGGGAAGATGGTTTTTTCAGCGAGTGGTGCTGGGACAACCAGGGGCAAGAGAGCAAAGCTGTACCCCATTGTCTCGTTCCACACGCAAACATCAACCCGCCTGGATGGAAAACCAAGACGAGAGCAAAACCACAGCACTTCAGAGAGTGGCGAGCGGTGAACCTCTGGGGCCTGCATCTTAGAAAGATACCTACAGCACAAGCAGCCAAAGGGGAAACAGACAGACCGGACTTCCCCAAATTCAAAGCTGCTGCGCTTCGGAGGTCGCCCTCCAGAAAGTGAAAAGCCAGAGCAGCGCCGGGTCTCGTCCCGTCTGCGGCCATCGCAGAAGCGTCCGCCGTCAAAGGGAAGTTCTCCGTGGCTTCTGACCGGCTCCGGCTCCTTCCCGCATTCCCGTCACCCACTTCCAAGGAGCTGAGGCAGAGGGGCGGAGTTCAACCCACGCCGGCCTGAAGGGGTGATGAAGTTCAGGTGTGTGGGGACACTGCGAAGGGCCACACAGTGGCAGGAAGTGCAGGGTTCCAGGAAGGAATACGTGGTCTCCGCTGGAGGAGGCGGCGGGAGGGAGCTAACGGTGGCGCCTGCTCACATGGCCATCCCCAGCACGGCCGCTAGCACTCCACTAACGCTGGACAGAGACCACAGGGAGATCCCCACACAAACAGCCACATCGCACCACGTAGGAAGGGATAAGGTCAAATACATGGGAGAAACTATTTTGTTTTAAATACATTTTTACTGATTTCAGAGAGGGAGAGGGAGAGAGAGAGAGAGAAACATCAATGATGAGAGAGAATCATTCATCAGCTGCCTCCTCGCACACCCCACACTGGAGATTGAGTTCACAACCCGGGCAGGTACCCTTGACCAGAATCGAACCCAGTGCATTTCGGTACACAAGCCAACGCTCTATCCACTGAGCCAAACCAGCTAGGGCACAAGGAAGAAACTATTGAGATGATACAGGAATACAACTTCCATTAAAAACAAAAAAGTGAGAAACCCCACAGAAGAAATATTTGCAAATCCTATCTATACTAATAAAAGCATAATATGCTAATTAGACCGGACGGCAGAACAGCGGAACCACCAGCCAGACAACCTTCCCGGATGAAGCCAGGGCTTCGAGGGCTGAGCCCCTTGCGTGAATTTCGTGCACCAGGCCTCTAATATCTAACAAATGTCTGGCACCCAGAATATATCAAGAACTCTTACAACTCGGTGATAAGAAAGGCAAATAGTCCAATTTAAAAAGGGGTAAAGGATTTAGAGACATTTCTCCAAAGAAGATATATCAACGGCCAACAGCAGCATGAAAAGACACCCACCATTGTTAGTCATCAATGAAATGAAGATCGAAACCACAACGAGACACCACTTCACACCCACTAGGAGGGCAAGATTCAGAAAGACGGCCAATGACAAGGGTTGGAGAGAACTTGGAGAAAGGGGAACCCTCCTACGTTGCTGATGGGAATGCAAAGTAGAGCAATGCTTTGGAAAACAGTCCGGCAATTCCTCACATATTCATAGTGATCACGTGACCCAGCAATTCCATTCCTAAGTAGACACCCAAGAGAAATGAAAATGCATGATCACACACAGGCATGCACATGAATGTTCACAGCAGCATTATTCATGATAGTAAAAAAGGAGAAGCAACCCAGATAGACATAGAAAATGTGGAAGAACCATGGACATATGGAATGTCACCCCTCCATAAAAAGCACGGATATGTGCTAAAATGTAGGTGAACCTTGAAAACGTGCACTATGAAAGAACACAGAGACAAAAGGTCACATGCTATGATTCATGTCTATGAAATGCCCAGAACAGGCAAAGCGGAGTAGTGGTTGCGGGACCAGCAGGGGAGGGGAAGGCTGGGGAATGAGTGTCTAATCATACAGGTATTGGGGGTAGGGAAGTGGGAAGGGTAAAACTGCCCTAGAATTAGATAGCAGTAATGATTGCACAACCTTGAAAAACATTGCAGTGGTGAATCAAAAAGGTGAATTGTATGGCATACGCAGTTTAAATCCGTGGTCGGCAAACTGTGACTCACGAGCCACACACGGCTCTTTGGCCCCTTGAGTGTGGCTCTTCCACAAAATACCACGACTTTGGCAAGTATTTTGAAGAAGTGGCGTTAGGAGAAGTTTAAGTTTAAAAAATTTGGCTCTCAAAAGAAATTTCAATAGTTGTACTGTTGATATGTGACTCTGTGGACTAACGAGTTTGCCGACCACTGGTTTTTTTTTTTTTTGTTTGGTTGTTTTTTTTTTAAATATATATTTTATTGATTTTGTACAGAGAGGAAGGGAGATAGAGAGTTAGAAACGTCGATGAGAGAGAAACATCGACCAGCTGCCTCTTGCCCATCCCCTACCGGGGATGTGCCCGCAACCAACGTACATGCCCCTGACCGGAATCGAACCTGGGACCTTTCAGTCCCGCAGACCGACGCTCTACCACTGAGCCAAACCGGTTTCAGCCGACCAATGGTTTTAATCAAACGTTTTCAAAAGCAGCCCAGTGTGGAATCCCAGGGTTCTGAGTTACCATAAATGCTTCAACGTCTGGTTGACTTTCAGCATCTCTGCCATGCTGTCTGCCACTTCATCATCGAGTGCGTTCTGGGTGAGCCTGGAGAGGAAGGGGGCGGTGACTCGGAGGGTCTGTCTGGCGCACCTCTCTAAGGGATTCTCAGCCTTCCGGCGGGATCTGGGAATTACCAGAATATTCTCAGCGACGTGTTCCAGTGCAAGGCCTGCGCGAGGCTTTTTCCGCCTCCTGTCGAAATGCCGTTGGCAGCCAGGCTGGGAGGAAGACACGTGAGGGGATCATTGCAGGAGGCGTTGGCTTCCGCAGCCCGAGCAGCCCGGAGACTGGCTGGAGGCCCAGCTGCCTGGAGACAGGAAGTCTCACGGGCAGCCACCGGGCGCTGCTGCTCCAGGGCACAGGCTCAGCGCGGGAGGTCAGGTGGAGACAGCAGGCACGGTCTGTCCTCCCAGAGCAGGGACTGCCACTGCCCCGCCGTCTCAGACTCATTCCAGGGGCAGGAAGAACGCCAGTGGCGGGGAACACCGAGGCTCTGAGGTTTGGCCAGAAGGACAAGGGGTCCCTCTGTCCAGCACTCGCCTTGAGAATGAGGAAGGGCAGGAATCCACTGCCCAGTGCCCCTCTCAGTGTATCTGGACTTAAGAATTCCTCCCACCCCCATGGGGCAAGGGGACACGGCCGAGGGGCTGGCAGTATCCTCGGCCTCGGCCTGGGTGGGTGCCTGTGTCAAACCACCGAGCTGAACACAGAGCCGTGGACTTGACTCACTTAATGTAATGTCTCCTGTATGTCCATAGAAACGTTTAAAAAGACACACACACACACACACACACCTCTCTCATTAGGAAAGCCGGCCGCCCTCTTCCCTTTGGCTCCTCCCCTGCCACCCAGGGGTCAGACACAGCGGTTACCTGAGGTTGGTCAAGCTGGGGTGGTTCCTCAGAGCCTCTGCGAAGGCCTGTGCTCCTTCATCGCCGATCTGATTGCCCCACATCCTGAGGGCAGAGGCGAGACAGTGAAGGGAGCGCCCGCTCCCCCTGGCCTGCTGGTGAGCCGTCAGCCCCTAGTGAGCCGTCATCCCCTAGTGAGCCGTCATCCCATAGTGAGCCGTCAGCCCCTAGTGAGCCGTCAGCCCCTAGTGAGCTGTCATCCCCTAGTGAACTGTCATCCCATAGTGAACTGTCATCCCATAGTGAGCCGTCATCCCCTAGTGAGTCGTCATCCCCTAGTGAGCCGTCATCCCATAGTGAGCCGTCATCCCCTAGTGAGTCGTCATCCCCTAGTGAACTGTCATCCCCTAGTGAACTGTCATCCCATAGTGAACTGTCATCCCATAGTGAGCCGTCATCCCCTAGTGAGTCGTCATTCCCTAGTGAGCCGTCAGCCCCTAGTGAGCCGTCAGCCCCTAGTGAGCCGTCAGCCCCTAGTGAGCTGTCATCCCCAATGAGCCGTCATTCCCTAGTGAGCTGTCATCCCCAATGAGCCATCATCCCCTAGTGAGCTGTCATCCCCTAGTGAGCCGTCAGCCCCTAGTGAGCTGTCATCCCCAATGAGCCATCATCCCCTAGTGAGCTGTCAGCCCACTGTGAGCCGTCAGCCCCTAGTGAGCTGTCAGCCCACTGTGAGCCATCAGCCCCTAGTGAGCCGTCAGCCCCTAGTGAGCCGTCAGCCCCTAGTGAGCTGTCATCCCCAATGAGCCATCATCCCCTAGTGAGCTGTCATCCCCTAGTGAGCCGTCAGCCCCTAGTGAGCTGTCATTCCCTAGTGAGCTATCATCCTATAGTGAGCCGTCCTCCCCTAGTGCCGTCATCCCCTAGTGAGCCATCATTCCCTAGTGAACTGTCATCCCCTAGTGAGCCGTCATCCCCTAGTGAACTGTCATCTCTTAGTGAGCCGTCCTCCCCTAGTGCCGTCATCCCCTAGTGAGCTGTCAGCCCCGTAGTGAGCTGTCATCTTTTAGGGACCTATCAGCCCTGCAGTGAGCTGCTTGGGGTTTCAGAGTCAAAAGGATAAAGAGCATCTCCTGGGCAGAAGCCAGTGGGGCCCCGAGCGCCCGGTGAAAGCTCCTGTGCCTCCCACGGCTTGCCCAGCGGCCTGTGGTGTGTTCGGAGCAAGAAGACCGGCAGGTGCTCACGGAGAGACCAGGCTGTCGGTCTCTCCACGTGTGCAGTTGTCCATACTCACCCGATCTCCAAGATGGATTTGCTTTTCTTCACAGCCAGGGCAAGACACTTGCCTCCCTCGCTGGTTATCTGGTTTTTCCCCAGTCTGCAGAGAGAGAGTTGAGCCCGCGTCTGCCTCCTGCTGGGAGGGGACTCGGTCACCCTCATCCCAGCACAGAGGCCCCTCTGGGCCCTCTCGGGGGCGTGGCCTTTCTCTGGGACCCACGGCAGCTACGCCCCACACTCCCACTCGGAAGGACCCGAAGGCCAGAGGAGACCAGTCAGGATTCCACTCCAGGTGATGGTAACCACCTGCAGAAGCTCGGCGACTGGAGCGGCCCCTGGGGTTAAGTGACCTCTGAGTGTCACTCGTGTCCGTCAGCAGAGTGAGGAGGTGCTGGCTGCAGCCGCAAATGGTCAAGGTGAGTGTCCCCAAATGGTTAAGGTGAGTGCCCTCTTCCAGGCCTGCTGCTCTGCCACCGGGTAAAGCAAGCTCCCCCTTGCAGCTAGATGGGTGCCCTGGTCTGAATGTGTGTGTCCTCCCCAAGGTCATGTTCCACAATCCCCACCCGCAGGGTGATGGCATGAGGAGGTGGGGCCTTTGGGAGGTGCGTAGGTCATGAGGGTGGAGCCCTCAGGATTGGGGTGAGCGGCTTATAAAAGAGGCCCCTCTCCCCCTTTTCCACCAGGTGAGCACACAGTGAGGCCCCATCTATGGACATGAAATCGGGCCCTCACCAGACACGTAATCTGCCACCACTTTGGTCTTGGACTCCCCAGCCTCCAGAACTGTAAGAAATGAATTTCAGGTGTTTATGAGCAGCCTACCTTATGGTATTTTGTAACAGAAGCCTGAAGGCTAGGCTGGTGTGGTCCAGGAGGTCACGGTTCAATTCCCGGTCAGGGCACACGCCCGGGTTGTGGGCTTGATCCCCCGTGTGGGGCGTGCAGGAGGCAGCCGGTCAATGATTCTCTCTCATCACTGATGTTTCCATCTTTCTCTCTCTCTCCCTTCCTCTCTGGAATCAATTTTTTTTTATATAGAGATGTAAACATATAGATATAAAAAAAAAAAGCCCGAAAGGGGAAAAGGACCTTCAAAAAGGGTGATAGCTGGGGCCTTTCTTCCTTCATTAATTAATGTCATTAAAATGCCAAGCTATCCAGCCGCCAACTCCGAGCCTCACCCCCAGTTAATAAATCCTGCGCGTGGCCAGCTCACCTTCCACGCACAGGTCTCCTGACTCGCCAGTAAGGCCCCCGGGCAAGCAGAAGAAGGCTTTGCGGGGAGAGTCTTCACGGAGAGTCTGTTTGTCTGAATGAAGAGCCGCCCCGCCTGCCCCACTTACTTCAGGTGCGTGAGGCCTGTGCACTCTTCCACGATCCTGGCGACGTAGCCGGCTCCGACGTCCGTGATCTGGTTGTTGTACAAGCTTCGGGAGAAAGCACAGGCAGAGAGCGTGGTGAGTCACGACGTCATCTAAAGGAGCCCAGTTTTAAACACTGAGGATGTGCCGTCTGGGTTGAAAGAAGAAAGAAAGGGAACGTGGGGAGCCGAGATTGGGGCTCTGGGGCCTCACAGGCTGGGTTCAGAGCCGCTCTGCCACGTTCCCGCTGTATGGCCAGCGGCAAGTTCCTTACCGCCTCTGTGCCTGTTTCTCCGTCTATAATACTGGGGTGAGAAGGAACCCCGACAGGGCTGTCCTAAGGACTGTGTGAGATCATTCCATATGTGCTCGATGAATGACAGGTGATGGGCATTTTTAGATGAAGATGCTGATGAGCTTCTTGACGGGGAAGTTTCTGAGTACCGGGCCTCCTCAGTGTCTGCCTTTCAGTCATTTTTGCCACTTGATACCAATTCAGCAGATCGCCCCAAGAAGTGGGCAGTGGGGACTGTACGGATGCACAGAGCTCTGAGCTGAAAGGGGCCTCTCTCCTGTGTTCCCATGTCCTCGCTGCTCAGCGTGGGGAAGTGAGGCCCAAAGAAGCTGATTAAAATCAATTAAAAAAAACAGTGGCCGTGGGGCTGGCTGTGTGGGCCCACAATCTCCCATCGCAAGCTCCAAAATTCCAGACGCTGAAAACCCAGTTTTTCATCACAACTTTGGCAACTGGTATGGAGCTGCTCATGGTCCTCATCCCACCCAGCTTGAATAATCATTTACGTCTGGCTGCAGAAATACGGAAGTATTTTAAAAGGGGGTCCCGCCATGTCAGCACTACTCGGCATGTGCTCTGGGTTCTGACCTGTGTCTTGCCCCCAGGGTTCTGGCCGAGGGGTCACGTGCCCAGCGCGGTGAAGTCTGATGAACAAACAGTATTCTGTTTAGAAAACGAGCCCTCGCTACCTTCTCATTGCATCCCCCGGCCAGCACGCATAACGCCACTCGCCTATATTACCAGGATCGTAAGATACAAGCGAGGAGACTGAGGCCCAGCGTGACTGCCCGACTTGCTCCAAGAGTGGGCAGCTGGCTGGACCCAAAGCAGAACCAGGACTCCTGCTTCCCCCTCCGGTGGTCTTCCTGTGCCCGTGTCCATCAGTCCCAACCATCTGATCACACGGGAATGGCCATCTCCTGCTGCTCGGTCCTTTTACTGAGTAGCCAGCCCAGGGTTCTTGGGAAACACGTACCCTAAATACATCAGAATCTTGTACTTGGTCAGCTCTTCATAGAGCACCTTGACCCCACTGTCCGTGACCTGGTTCACGCTGAGTCTGAAAGAAAACAGCAGAGAAGAGTGACCCATCTGAGCAGCTGCTCACTAGGAGGGGCATTCACTCCACCGGGACGCAGAAGCCTCCCCTGGAGGTCCTGGCCTTCCCCGTCCGAGAGGACGGCCGGAACAGCCGGCCACACAGCCCCCACCGCGCCTGGTCATGGTGGGGCCGACAGACCCACCCAGAGCCAGCCCCTCGGCGAGCCTGCAGCTCAGCCCGGATTCAACTCAAGGACAAGAGGAGACGCAGGAAGGCCACGCGCGGACAGCCCGCTCTGATATCCTGCCTTTGGGGGCAGCCTCCGTGTGAAGGAGCCAATGTGTAAACAAGTGGTTTTGGCTGTGTTCCAGCAACACTTCACCTACAGACACAAGCCAAACGGGGCCGCAAGTTGACCTTTTTAATCCCCTACTGGGGATGTGCCAGCAACCACCGTACATGCCCTTGACCGGAATCGAACTTGGGACCTTTCAGTCCGCAGGCCGACACTCTATCCATTGAGCCAAACCTGTTTCGGAGGCCCCTAGTCTAAATAATCAAACAGGAAGCTAATCAAGAGTCAACAATAAGAGTCATTGTTCTTTACTGAGATCTCTGGAAGCTCAGGGCTGCTGGCTTTGATCATGGCAAACAACTAATGCTAACTTGCAAAAACTCTGCCTTTTATTTGTTTATTGTCTTTGAATTTATCGGAGTGTGTTAAGAGGGTTAAGTTAGGTAGCATTTGTAATGACTTCACCCACTCTCAATGAATGCTGATTGATCTTACAGTTGACCTTTGAACAACAGGGGTTTGAGCTGTGTGGGTCCAATTATACTATGTGGATTGTTTTCAATCAATATATTGAAAAAATTGGGGCATTTATGAAAATTTGAAAAATTCACAAACGGTATAGCCTAGAAATACCGGGGGGAAAAATTAAGAGAGAGATATACAATATAATGAGTGCATAAAATATATGTATTTTCTCTTCCTTATGACTTTAGTAACATTTTCTTTTCTCTAGCTTACTTTAAGAATACAGTGTATAATACATATAACATACACAACATGTACAGAAGTGAGCAAAAGTAGGTTTACTGTTATTTGTATGAAAAATAATACAATAATTGATAAATAGTAATACAATTATAAACTGTGTTTTGTACATTCACTACTGTAAACCTACTTCTGCCACACTCTGTATTAATCGATTGTTTATGTTCGTGTGAGGCTGCCAGGCAATGGTAGGCTTTTAGTAAGTAAGTGTTTGGGGAGCCAAAAGTTATATGTGGCCCGAGCTGCTTTGGCTCAGTGAACAGAGCGTCGACCTGTGGACTGAAGGGTCCCAGGTTCGATCCCAGCCAAGGGCACATGCCTGGGTGGTGGGCTCGATCCCGGGTGGGTGTGTGTGCAGGAGGCAATCAATCATTGATGTTTCTCTCTCCCTCCCTTCCTCTCTGAAATGAACAAAAAAATGTATATATTATATAAAAAAAGTTATAGATGGATCTTTGGCTTCCGGGGGCCAGCGTCCCTAACCCCCGCGTTGTTCGAGGGTCTGCTGTACTGCAGTTGCTAGGATACGAGCATCTCCTTTTCCCAATGAGGACCCTGAGGCTCAGAGATCAAGCAACTTATTCAAGGACACCCACCGTTGTCAGTCTGCCTGACTTCAAAGCTTTGTTCCTTGACCAATGTCACCCCAATCAATTTAATTAATAACAATAATAATAATAATAATAAAAGCTTTGTTCCTTGACCAATTCACCCCAGTCAATTTAAATAATAATAATAATAATAATAATAACAGTAATACAAGCTTTGTTCCTTGACCAATGTCACTCCAATCAATTTAATAATAATTTTTTAAAAAGCTTTGTTCCTTGTTCTCAGCCACCCTGAGACAGAGACGGTCTGGAAGTTCCAAGACCAGTGGTGGTGACTCTCAGGGTGATCAGAAGACCCCACTCTGTGGTGCTAGTCCTGGTGTCACCCAGCCCGGCCAACCCGGCCCGCCAGCACTCCCGGTGCCCAGCCCTCCAGCGCCCCCAGTGCCCGGCCCGCCAGAGCCCCCTGTGCCTGGCCCACCAGCGCCCCGGGCAGCCTCACCTGACGACCGTGAGGCAGCTGAAGCAGGGCTGCAGCTCCCGCACACCGTAGTCGTTGAGGTTGTTGTTGTCCAGGTCGAGGGCCAGCCGCTTGCGGAAGTGGTGCAGCACGAAGGCCAGGGCGCTGCAGTCGGCCGAGCAGGCGTTGCAGTAGGTCAGCTTGAGGTAGTTGGCGCAGATGCCCTTGGCCGCCAGCCGCCCCACCTTCTCGCTCTGCGTCTCGTAGATGCAGCGCAGCATCCAGATGAAGGTGGGCATGGCCTGCACCTGGCTGAAGCCGTCGGTGCGCGTGCGGGGCAGGCTCCGCAGGTGGGCCCGCAGGCTGGCGCACAGGTGCGCCCACAGCGCCCGGCGCTTCCTCCGCAGGGCGGCGGCCGGCACCAGGTGGCTCAGGAGCTTCTGCTTGGCCTTGGACAGCAGCCCGCACAGGAAGAGGTTGGTGAACTGGAAGTGGTCCTTGTTCTTGAAGGGGTTGTCCCCCGCCGGGCGGCGGGCCCCCAGGCACGGGAAGGGGAGCAGGTGGGGCGGGCAGGCCGCCGTCACCGCCGCATCCTCCGGGGGCGCCCACTCCTGGAAGAACCGGAGCAGCGCCCGCGTGCCCGCCCTGGCGTCCACCACGAGGGAGAAGGCGGTGAAGAAGGCCTGCAGGGTGGTGTGGAAGAACTCGTAGGACTGCCCGCCCTCCCCCAGGCCCGGCTCGGGCACGGCGCGCAGGAAGCCCAGCTGCAGGTCGGCCTCGGGCAGGGCGCAGGCCTGCACCTCCTCGGGGCTGAACACGAACAGGTCCCGCTCCATGCCCCCGCGGGCCAGCCGGCCCAGCGCGCCCAGGGTGGCGCGGCCGGCGCGCAGGGCCTCCGTCTGGCTGCGCGTGTTCCTCTGCACCAGGCTGGTGGGCTGCGTCCGGTTGAGGTGGGCCTCGGTGGCCAGCAGGAACACGTCGGTCAGGGTCACGGTGCAGTCGGGCAGCTCGGGGGCGCCGCCGTCGCAGGCGCCGCGGTGGAAGTGGCGGAAGCAGCGGAAGATGATCCAGCAGAAGAGGGGCACGGCGCACAGGCTGCAGAGGTTGGGGCTGGCCTCCAGCTGGTCCAGCAGGCGGTCCCGCGCGGCCGGCTCGGGGAACATCCTCCCGGCGTAGGCACGCAGGTGGCCGCGGGAGAAGCCCCGCAGCTGCACCTTCTTGCGCAGGAGCTGGCGCGGGATCTCCACGCCCGTGCGGGCCGTGAGCAGCTTGGTGGCCCCCCGGAGCAGCGCCCCGCTGAGCAGGTTGGCCAGCAGCACCAGCGGGTGGGCCGGCTCCCAGGGCGACGAGGCGTCGGGCGCGCGGCTCAGGTCGAAGTCCGAGTGCAGCTCGTCCAGGCCGTCGAAGGTGAAGAGGGCGGCCTGGGGGAAGCGCAGCAGGAAGGCGAACACCTCCTCGGGGTCCCGCTCCGGGTAGCAGCAGTGCTTGAAGAGCAGGTCCTGCAGGCTCAGCGCGGCGCCCGCCCCGAAGCAGCTGAAGGTGCGGCAGCGGAAGTGGAAGGAGAACTTGAGCCGCGGGTCCAGCTGGCCGGCGGCCCACAGGCCCTGCAGCCGCTGCAGCAGCATGGACTTGCCCACGCCCGCGTCGCCCGAGACGAAGATGGTCTCGCCCTGCTCGTTGAGGACGCCCGCGGCGGGGTCCAGGAGGCGGGCTGGGCTGTCGAGGCTGCCCAGGCTCTCGTTGCTGAAGCCGACCAGCTCCATGATGGTGTCCGTGTACACCTCCTCCAGCAGCACCTCCTCCTTCTGCGAGTAGCACAGGATGAACTTGGAGTCTCGGCCCAGCTGGTGTCGCAGCTTCTGGATGTACAAGCTCACTGGAGGGGAGAGGGGGAGAGGGTGGTGAGAGGACCCAGGAGAGGTGGAGGCAGAGAGAGAGAGAGAGAGAGAGAGAGAGAGAGAGAGAGAGAGGCAGAGACCAAGCAATCAACCAGGGCGGCTGCAGGAGAAACCAGCTCACAGGTAACCCCACAGCCTGACCCTGAGGCCGAGGGCAAGGAGGCCTCACACGCAGGCCCCGAGGACGCTGAGGAGCCTGAGCTCCAGGATCTGCAGGTCGTCAGCCCTGACGGCTCTGCCCGACCTCAGACCTGGCCAGTCAGAGGGTGATGGCTTCCACAGGGCCCAGAGAGTGGGACAGACCCCCTCTTCCCCCCCACCGTCCTCCACACAAGTGGTCATGACAACTCCAGCTGAACACTAAAGCTCCCTCACCTTCCAGGGCCAGGCCTCGGGGCCCTGCCGCCCCGCCCATCCCCGGGGCCCTGTTCCACTAGCTGGAGCCAGACCCCGCCGAAACCCGTGTGTTGAGAAACTGCCCTGACCTTCCTATGGCTTATGTGCTGCCCTGGAAGCCACACGCAGCCTCACAAAACCACACGCCAGGGCTTTCGGTGATGGAATGAGCACTGGATGTTCCTCTGGATGACAAAGGAGCTGCGTCTCCTCCGACTCACCCCCCGTGGGTACACGAAGATGAAACCAGCCTTCTCCCCGAGGAGGAGCACACAGCCCTGTTCCCGGGGGAGGCCTGGGCAGCACCGACGTGTAGCAGGTGCCCCAGGTGACCCCGCTGCCTGCCCCAGCGGCGAGGACGCAGTGACGCGCTTACGTGGGGGCCGCGCTCTCAGCAAACCAGAGCTCGGAAACGGGGCTCACACCAGAAGGCAGGCGGGCCTTCCCCGCACTCCAAGGTGCCCAGGCCCTGGCATCGGGCGCACTAGCCCTGGCACACGAACACCTGTTGCCTAAGGGGGCGCCACGGTGCTTTGCAAATAAGCACTGGCAGTCAGGGGTGACAAGGGAATACGTTGCCTAGAGTCATACCTGGAAAGATTTTTTAAAAGAAAAAAAAGAAATGCAACCTTGAACTTGTGCAGCTGAGAACAACAGGAAGTGAGCAGGAGGTCAGAACAGAGGCATTCTCACGGGCCCCTACACAGAGCGACCCCATGCCTGTGGCCACTTCCATGGCAGCCCCTGGGCTGCACGTGGGCAGCAGGGACAGCTCTCCTCTGCTGTAAGGAGCACAGCACCTGGGCAGGAAGTCAGGGCTGGCCGGGGTGGACCAGCTTCCTGTCCTCTTGAGCCTACTCCCTACACTACAGCCTTTCCCGGCCCGGGCTGTGTGCTTGGTGTCTGCAGTCCACCCCCCACCCACCCACACACACACACACACACACCCTGCCCCGCGGACTCCTACCTGGGTCAGTGTTGACCACGGTCTTGCTCTGGATGAGCGGGGAAGGGGAGAAGCCGACCTCCAGCAGCCAGGGCCCGAGGTCCACGAAGGCATCGGCGAGCCGCTGGAGCACGTAGAGGAGGAACTCGGACACCTCCTCGCCCTTGCTCTGCACCAGGTCCAGGATCTTGCGGACCTGGTGGTGGCACAAGCACGAGGGCGTGAGCGTGGCACCAGGGGTGCGCTTCCACGGGCCCGGCCCACACCACAGGCCCCCCGGCTCTGACTGCAGCCCGGGGCTGGACCAGCCAGCCAGCCTGCCAGCCAGCCCGCGGAGATGCTATGCACCGAAGGCCTAGAATCTGTGGCCTGGGCCTCCTTAGCTGGAGAGAAAGCCACGCAGATCCACAAAACCACGAGGCTCCCCTGGGCCTAAAAGTAAGGGTAGACTCACAGCGGGACTGCGCCCACCTCTGGGATGTGCTCCGTGTCCCCTTTTCTCTCTTGAACTAACACCACTGCTCTCTAGGAATGAGTCTCAGGAGAGAGAGCCAGCCCTCTGGCATATGTGGGCACCGGGCCACCCAGCCAGGGGACAGTCAACCCCCATGTAAGCTGTGCTGTGAGAAAGGCTTTGTATGTTATTAAAAACCAAGGGGGGAAGTTACAAGGGTGAGCCCCTGTGCCTCCCCAGAACCCCTTCAGGTCTCTTCTGAGGACGGCAGGCTCCCGTGGCACACAGGTCTGTCACTCTCCGCGCAGGGAGGAGTGTGGGGTCTTGCCAGTTTTATTTTTCAGATGACACAAGGCTGGGTGGAACGAAGGGCTGCTCAGACCTCCCGCCGTGGCGTGGGGAGAATTCTTTATGATGGGCCCGGCTTCGAATGCAGCCGTTCCCGGACGGGAGGGCCACGCTCAGAGTCTAAGCAGCGAGCAGCTCCCAGACGTTTAAAGTCCCTGATCAGGGGTGGGGAATGTCTTGCCCACAGGCCAAACGAGGCCCACAAAATCATTAGGTCCGGCCCTGCCAAGGCCCTAGGGGCATGTTAATTCAATGTGTGCCCGCAGAGAACAGGCTGATTTTTCCGTTGACGATTCTGTATCATCAGCCAGCGAAGGATGCTATAACTATCCAAGGGGCCATTGGCAGAAACGAGGTTCCCCACCCCCTGCAACGCCCTGGCCGGTGCTTTCTGCTTGTTTTCTCTCCTCTCTCTCCTCATCATCTAAAGTAGGGGTGTCGAACTCAATCAGAGAAGGGGCCAAAATCTAAAATCCAGCCTAAATCGCGGGCCGAATGGTTTACTGAACAGTCATAAACTGACAATGTTAACCAGAAATGTGAATTTAAAATGAGTGGAACAATCTTTTCCTTAACAGTGCTGTTAACCAACTCACATGCTATCAAGGATTTGGCCCGCGGGCCTTGTGTTTGACACGTGTGCTTTATATTCTAGGAATGGCTGTGGTGGCCAATTCTGCCCAATGTACACGGCATCCTGCCAAGGCCACCTCCCTTCCCTCCCTCCGTCCCTCCGTCCCTCCGTCCCCCCCTCCGTCCCCCGTCCCCCGTCCCCCGTCCCCGGCACCTTGTCCGGCTGCGTGGGGCAGGCGCCCACAATCTCGGCGTCTTCGGCCGAGAAGTAGTCATTCTCCAGCAGGTTGTCCACCAGGCACTGCGTGTTGCGGATGTGCATGACCAGCAGCTCACGGTTGGTTTTCAACAGCTTCACGTGGGAGCGAGGACGCTGCGGCCGCGGGACCGTGTCCATCTCGCCGAGGCCCCGCTTCTCCATGGCTACAGCGGCGAGTGGCTCCGGGTCCCAGGTTCATCCTGGCTGCACGTGTCTTCCTGGCGGCGGACGATCGGGACCCAGGGCCCCTGCCTCTCCACGCGGCCCCTGAGGAGACGAAGGCGGTCACCGAGAAGGCCTGGGCCAAGGGGTCCGCCCCCCTCCGGTCCCGGACCGTGTCCACCCCGAGTGGGCGGGGGTCACGCCTCACACAGCGGCCGGAGGCCACCGGAGGAAACACCCTCGTGGACACGCGTCTGCCGCGGCGGGTGCCACTGCTAAGGTGGGTGCCCGGAGGTAAACAGACCTTTTTGTTTGCTTGTCTTAGCAAAACTTGTAAATAATGTTTTTTATTTTAGAGTGTGCCTCAATCCCAGACGAGAACAGAGATGAAAAAGGATATGGTTTTCCATAAAAAGGCGAACTGGGACTGGGAGCCTCTCCGATGCGGTAACCCGTCGGTTCCCACGTGTGTTGCATGTGTTACGTACTGTGTTCTTACGAAGTAAGTGAGAGGAAGGAAAGCACTGTTAGGAAAATCGTAAGGGAGAGAAGATATGCTGACAGTATTTCCTGCCTGTAAGTGGACCGGCGCAGTTCAAGCCCATGCTGTTCCGGGGCCGATGGTTCCTGCCTTTTTGGTACCTTTCCCATCGCCGTGAGTTTCTTGGAACCACCGAGACCCTCTTCTGAGCGGCGGAAGCTGGTTTCTGACAGACGCTCTGCTGACCTGGCTTTCTGTGTGTAAGGAGGAGTGAGACCCACCCGCCAGCTTTGTCTGTTGAAACCCCGCCCCTGAGAGTCCCAAACAGAGGATCAGAGATGATAATGATGCTCAAAGGTAACACCTCTTTGGCCAGGCCCTGTCTGCCTGAGCCTCCAGGGCAAACCTGAGGGCCTTCGCCAATGCCAGTCACATGACAAGATGCTGTCACCCAGGGGGCCGAGGCAGGCGGCCTGGGGTGCAGGGAGCCTCCAGGAGGCGGCGGGCCCTGCAGCCTTCCCCTGAGGGCCGTGTCGCGAGGGGATCCCAGCGGCACACAGAATGGCCAGCGGCCAGAGCTCACACCGAGTACACGCGCTGCCTGGCCCAGCTCGGGTCCAATGCCCTCCTCTCGCTGGGAGAGGCAGGATAACACAGGTCAGACGTGGTCTCTGGGGCCGGCCGGGCTTTAACCATCCTCCCTGGGCCTCAGTTTCCTCCCAAGGAGAATCCCTACCTCCACGTGGTACTGTAAGCACTAAGTTAATATTCACCAGATGCCTAGATCAGGGCTTGCTACAGCAAACGCTCGGTAATGATCACCTCATTTAATCTTCACTCCATCCTTAGGACAGCCGTAGATGGTCCCTGGTCCTGCTGGTTTACAAACCAGGAAACTGAGGCACTCAGAGGTTAAGGAGCTCCCTCCCTGCAGTCACAGGGCTTACAGTCCGGCGGGGCAGTGTGGTGAGCACAGGGGATGGATGAGGAATGGATGGAGAGGGCCAGGGCATCCATAGCTCTCCCGCGGGCTGCCTGGGCCCCCTGGAGCCCTCTGGAGCGGAGGGAGATGTGGGGAGAGCCCCCGTCTTTTAGGGAACGTGAACTTGAGACATCCAGAGGGTCCCAATAGCCCCTACCACACGAGTGGTGGGTCAAGGCCGCCCACCGCTGAGGGACATGGCCTCCAGGTCACCCGGGCCCGCACCCCTTTCCCCGGATGTCAGGTGGTTTCCCACTCTCCTCGGGAACGCACCCTCTCCCTTGAACTTGAATAAGGTGTGTTCTGGCGGGCGGGCCCCGCGGCTCCTCTGGCCATTGGCCGTGAAGGGAGGGACGCCAGGTGTGCTGCCACGAACCCCCTGGCTATTCAAGGACAAAGTGGTGATGGGAACAGCATGGCCTCCCCGCCCGCCAGCTGCCCCGAGGCAACCCAACAGGAAGCCAGCCTCGGGCACACGCCACGGAGCGCGGACAGAGCCGCACCGAGGACAGGGCACGTCGCAGGGCGGGCCACCTCGTGTGGCTCCTGCTTTCCCAGCTGCACCTCCCACCCCACCGGCAGCTCCCTCGCGCTCCCAGGCTCCGGAGACGCAGCCAACCCGAGCCTCCGTCCTCCGGAGACCGTCTCCTGGCCCGCTTTCGTCTTCTGTGGGATTTTCTTGTTTTACTCTATTCGTGTTCCTTGTTTTATTTTCCATCTCGTCACCTGGAACACCAGTCCAGTCCCAGCTGCCTCTGCCATACCAGGAAACGAGGAGCCCCCGAGGAGAAAACTTAGCAGATGGATGAGGCTACAGTTATTATTTGAAGCTTTTAAGCTCCATTAACTCTCTGAAAGCACCAAATTCCTCAGAATTTCCAAGCAGATTCAAAGTCTCTCTCAATCTCTCTTCTCCTTTTTGCTCTGCCTCCCCGCTCTCTCCCTCCATCTTTCTGTCGCCCTCCCCCCCCCCCCCCCCCTCCCTCCCTCCCTCCCTCCCTCCCCCCTCCCCCTCTCTTTCTCTCTTCTGAATGTGCCAGACAGCCTGCGCTGCGGACACAGAGCTGCCACCCTGACTGCGGAGAAAGGCACGCAGACAGAGCCAATGGGACTGATGCTGAGGAACACAGACAGCCTTTCACAGCCGCTGGACTTCCGGGAAGCCACGTGCCTGGCTCCTCATTTCTCGGAGCTAAGCATGTCTTTCTGGCCAACAAACCCCGCTGGGTGCACGCAGAGCCAGCCCCACCCTGACCCGCTGAAACCACGGACTTCTGGAATGGAGCAGAGTGCTGTCCAACACCCCCGTTTTAGAGACGAGGAAGGGCAGAGGCCTGTCTGATCAACTAGTTCTGGAGCCCAGGTCTCCAGTGCTTCCTGCTTCCCTGAGAAGCTGCCTCAGCAGCTGAGGGTGTCATCCCCCGCCCCCAGCAGAGAGGCCGCTGGCTCGGAATGGGGCAAGGACAGGGACTCCACCTCCCCCTGGGCCTCCCCTCAGCCTCTCCCTCCCGCTGGAAACTCCCAGGCACTTTATCCCCACCCTTCTCAGAGGTCAGGAAACTTTCTTTCCTAAATTCCCCCTTTGCACGGATGGGCGGGGTCAGTGAGGACAAAGACTCTAGGGCCAGCAGACTGGGTTCCAATCATCCGCTGTGTGATCTGCACAAAGGATAGCGCCCTCCTGGGCTCCCGTGCTCTTACCCGCCAAATGCAGAGATAACAGCACCTCACGGGGTCCCCAGAGGATTCACACACACACACAGACACACACACACACACACACAGAGACACACACACACACACACACAAAAAGACACACACACAGAGAGACACACACACACAGAGAGACACACACACACAGAGAGACACACACACACACACACACAGAGACACACACACACACACTGCTCAGAACAGCGCGGTCACATTGCAGGCACTTTGCATGACCTCCGTCTGCTCCCTCGCTGAGGCCCAGCATTTGGCTGAGGGGTCGTGTCCAGCTGGTCAGTCACTGCATCTCCCGCAGAGGGACAGAGGAACCAGATCAGAAAGGGCCAGCGGGATGAACCTGGCACGGGCACTGCCCCAGCAGGGGCCTCCTCGGTGCCCGCCAGAGGAATGTGTCCATCTCCAGAGCTCGCAGGCTCTCAGGGAGCGTCAGGCGCCCAGTCTGCTGCTGGGGAAGCTCCGGTTTGCAGGCCCCCGTCGTCGTCGTCGTCGTCGTTACCGCCCTACGGTCAGCGAGCTTGCCCAGAGCCCAGCTCTCGGCTCCCAGAACGCCGTCCTGGCACGGAGCCCCCTCCTGCCGTGTGGCCGTGGGGTCCTCGTGACTGCCGTCCTCCTGGGGGTACCAGCTTCTGAAAACCGCAGCTCCAAAAGCACCCTGCTTGGGACTCATCTCTGAGGGCCAGTGGCACAGACACCGTGACGAAGGCCGACGGCCGCCTGCAGCCAGCCCCGGCCTGGAGCTCTAAGTGGACGTAAGTGCTTCCAGGAGGAAAGGGCCGCTTGGCCACAGGTCCGGAAGCCAGGGGACGTCCGGAGGCGGCTCTGAGGACCCACACTGAAGGTGTCTGGGGTTTCTCGAGTGAAAGGCACGCGGCAAGAACAAAATGTATTTGTCGTCTGAGAGGCCGGCGGTGAACTTGGCCTTGGGTACATAAACACTCTGTGATCGCTGGCCAAGGCACTTAGCCTGAGACTGATTCTCCCACTGGAGTGTGTGTCCACACACAGCCACTGTCTGGGACACAGGGCGCCGCGCAGCGTGGCCGGAGGGCACCTGCGACGTGTCGGGGCGACTGAGAGGTTGGGAAGGTGGCACACCCTGCGCCTGGACCACCCCGTGGGGTGCTGCTGCAGGAGCGGGCCCGCCCAGCCAGCCGAGACGCACCCGACCTGCTACTGCCCCTCACTCTGACCTCAGGACAACGTCCCAGGAGCGAGAGGGAGGGGGCCGTGCGGTCCGCTCCTCACCAGCGGGCACGCACTGGGAGCTCTCGGCCCCTCGCCACGGGAGGCTTCTTCTGTGACCGGAAAGCTCCAAATAAAGAATTTCCCCCCCTAAACCCTGTACCTTTGAAGTGTATGCAAATTCTTCTGGTGTGAGGAAGAGGGTGAGGAGTAAGGAACTTTATAAAAGGTGGGGAGTGCCCATGGAGAAGTCCGTTGCGCCATGGATGGGATGGTGTTTAGGTGCAGTTATGCCCACTGAGTCCTGACCTGGGGACTGCCAACCCTGGTTTCTGTCTTCCCAAATGCCCCAGTCATTGTTAACATAACATCTGTCTGGAGGAAGGTTATTTCAGATGAGTTATCTGAAAATAAACATCATAATCCACTTGAATAACATTAGCTGATACCAGTATCAAGGTTCCCCGCACCGACCCCACCCAGTGACTGTTGGCTCACCCGGCATAAGCAATGGCTGAGGTTAACAGTTGCAGATCTGGGGTGGATTCATAAGCAGGAAGTTCTTCAGAAGTGAGGCCCTGGGTGCAGAAACACAGCTCTACAAAGAGCATCAATAAGCACTCTCGTCCTGTCCAGTCAGCGAGTGCTGGTTCCGTGCTTAGCAAACGGGAGCCTGCTCCAAATCCTGGGTGCAGCACTTGCTGCCTGGTGACTTGGGGCTAGTTAGTGAACCTCATTGTGCCTCTGCTATCTCATCTCTAACATGGGGCAAATGATCTACTGCACAGGATTGCTGGAAAGATTACATGAGCTTAAAAGAAGAAGAAGAAGAAGAAGAAGAAGAAGAAGAAGAAGACGACGACGAAGAAGAAGAAGAAGACGACGACGACAAAACAAAGTTCCAAAGAAGAAGAAGAAGAAGAAGAAGAAGAAGAAGAAGACGACGACAAAACAAAGTTCCAAAGAAGAAGAAGAAGAAGAAGAAGAAGAAGAAGAAGAAGAAGAAGACGACAAAACAAAGTTCCAAACCTAAAGCCTTTGGAGATGTTATTCATAGTAAGTTCTATGTTGGCCATTATTATCCAGGGTCTACCAACCAGATCAGCTGCATCGTCATTTAATTCCTTCCAAGCCTCACACCAACCTTCCACACAGGTAGAGTCAGCCCCATTTTACAGATATAACCCGGGGCTCATGAGGACTAAGTACCTTATTTAAAGCAACACAACTAGGAGATGACAAGACGAGCCCTGGAACCAAAGGAGTCATCATAACCATTATTAACATAACTAGTGGCCTGGTGCACAAAATTCATGCACATTAAAAGGGAAATAATTAGAGGAAATATTTTAATACTGCTATTTGCCCTTTATAACAGAAGTGTCAGAGATGAAAGAAAATTAGTAAAACATATATCAAAATCTTCCTCCTGTCAGAGTCTGGGACGCACCACGGGACCCAGAGTCAAGTCCCCGCCCACCCACGTGCACCTTGAAATCACTCGAGACCCAGACCCGGCCAGCCCCACCTCGGTCAATCCCTGCAAGGCAGGGGGCGCAGCCTCGGGTTCCCAGCCCTAGCACCTAGGCGTGAGGGCGCGAAGGCGTGACGACCATTTGCATATTAGCTGTTTATTATATCGGATAAGTACCATTTACTTGAAAGCCACTTGGTGTGCTAAACACTTTACATCAATTATTTCATTAACTGCTCAAAACTGCTCTAAGGAAAGAATTATAACTGTTTTTACAAGGAGGACAAAGGGTTGGAACAGTTCAATATGTTGGCTGAGGTCACATGGTAATTCAGGAACTAAAGCAGGGGCCGGGTCCCAGTGCTGACACCCGAAACCCATGGTTTCTCCCACTAAAGGCCTGCCTGTCTGGTATTTTGTTATAGATCTTTTATCTCCGCCTGAAATCATCAATGTGCCTGAATTGACATTACATGTGAGACCCTGGCCTTGTTAAACAAAGTCCAGGAATGGCCCTCTCCATCAAGGGACCATCTGTTGTCCTAGGTTGGAACGAGTTAAGCTCTCTGGCCGTAAAAGCCTAGTTTCCCATCCAGTTCCTTCTGAAAGTTTGGGTTGAGGAGCCGAGATAAGCAATTGGGAAGTGGGTTGAAACAAATCACACAAAGTTCTGAATCACTAGACTTTTATCTTTTGGGAATTAGAACAAATATTTTTCTCAAGTGAATCATCATCTGCTCACAGATCTTCTTCCCTGGAAGGATTTCCCTCAGCAATATGTGGCTGCCCTACCCAGTTACCTGAGGCTCTGAAAATACCTCAGTCTCTACATCTTTACCGCCCCAACCTGTATGGTGGTGCGAACACTGTGAGACCTTGTTCTGCA